TCTTTTCTTAAAAAGTATTTTTTCTGTAGTTAGTGCATTACGAAGTATCCAATCCCCTGCTTACTAATATTAACTGCCACACTCTGGTGGAGGTATTGTTGACTTTGGTGTTACATTGAAGTTTTAGGCAATGCGTTGCTTATTGAAGACAGGGAACACCGAGAAGATAATATTTTTTGCAAATACAGCTCGAGATCCAAACATAAATATTTTGGCTGCAAATTATTTGCAAACCTTAGACTGGAAGAACGACGAAAATATCTTGAAACATATTGTTTTACTGTATACCAAGGCCAACGCTTATGAGCATTTGACTGGTTTTTATGAGGCTTGTGCAGCGGTATCACGTTTTTACAGCGTTGTTTTTTTTTTTACATTTTACGTAAAAAATTAACCGAAACATGAAACCTTAGCTTAGAATTTCTACATAAACGTGAACGGAACATAACCTGGTTTATTAAATGCTAGCTAAATTTTTTAAAAAATTTTTCGAGTCAATATACATTTAAATTTAAGGCTGAAATTGACGATTACCGCAACTATGAGAAAGCATGTGCAGCTCTGATTGAAGCTCAGAGATGTCTGTCAAAGGCACTAGAAAAAGATCCAAAGAACGCCATCTCGTTGATGGAAAGGCAAGAAGGGCTGAAGAAAGCGATACTAGACATTAAAAAATTTATGGCTATTAGAAAGTGAGCGAAATTTAAATTTTCATTGATCTTTCTACAATACCCAATCGCTGTGCTTGGGAACTAAGTGATTCCTCTATTCTTTAAAGACCCGTAAGAATTACAGGCATAAACACATTTTTACTACAAATTAAAAACGTTCATCGTCGTTTTCTGTTCTCAGCTCGTTTCGTCAATGCAGTTCTAAAATTCTGGAGCATATAGTTGAGAGAAGATAACAAATCCAAATGCGTGACGAGTTACCGTATATTTTCTCATAGGAATAACAATGACAGTAGTTGTTATGTATTAGTTTCGTGGGAAATAGTGGAGTTTTTTGTTATACTTGATACTTTTTAGTGTTTACGATGAAGACCCGTTTGATGCTGTAAGGCAAGTAGAAGCTCTGATCAATGATAAAGAAGGAGTTAAGTATGTACGTGTGGGCGACCTTTACGCAGTTTTGGTGGTACATAATGTTAGAAACGAAAACTACAGAAAGGTATGTGGCAAACTGTTGCGTATTTATTAATCATTTTTTTTCTTAATTCACTTTGACAGGACGGTAATCTAATGTTGTCGGAGAAAACTACTATGACTCTTATTATCATTGTTTGAAGCGGAGTTTTGCACAAGAATAGATGTTTTGCCTCTATTTGCATGGAAATTTTTTAAGGAGCTACCTATTTAGAAACTAAGTGATCAAAAACAAAGCCTACTTTTATTTCCACCTTCTAGAAATTTGTAGTTCCTTATGCTTACAAATCAAATTATTTTAGGCTTATGCACTGATAAAGCAACTACAAGAACAAGAAGCTGGGGTTGATATTAGACGTCATATTAACACCCAAATAATTGATAAAATATGTGATGAAACTGGAAACCCAAGATTCACCGGAGTTACGACAGATTCTGACGAGGGCGAAGAACAAGCTGGAACTGTAGACTACAGCTATGCCATGAAACGACGCGAAAGGGTTTTGACTGATGCGGCTGAACAGTAAACCCAGTCGGCGAGTATTCTTTGATAAATTGAACCTTCCATTATTTTTCACAACACTATGCTTAATGAGTTATTTAGCAAGTAGGCCGCATTATGTGGCTAAATGGATCTTCAAATTTCCAGAATGGCCATTGATGATATTATGGTTCATCAGGAAAACGACTTATGCTGAAGTAACTGAGCAACGCAGTTGCAACATAACTGGAGTCGAACACTAGGCAACGAGTTTATGTCTTTATAGCAACAACAACAACAGTTCATTAAAATAACAACAAGAAGTTATAACACTGCCAAAATAACTATCACTGGTAAAAGGTGCACGCTTAAATAGCTAAGCGGTGCTTTGCTGTATACTACAGTTCTATAATATGAGACATTTTTGTTGCTTGGATAGTATCTTCGATTTGTGACATTAACATTACTTACGCCTTGAACAGTTCTAACATCCTTAATGTCTTCATTAACTTCCAGCTTTTTGATGCTATCTGGTTTTTTCGGCTTTTCTGCACATGTAGCTAAAATAGGAAAAAAATTGAAATCTTCAAATAGTACATTTAGACGGGTATATTTATAAATAAGGCGCTGCAAAGATGTTGGTTATTTAAAAATGGTACTTCTTTTTTTGCCACCTCTGCCAGTCAGTATAATTTACAAAAAGAGGTGTAAAAAGCCGTCTTTTTTTGTGGTTTGTAATGAAAATTGGCACTACAAGATTTTAATCCTCATTGTAGTTGAGAAAATGATCATAGTTGGTGTGAACTTACTTTTCTGCTCTAGAACTATAGTTTTTTCGTTGTTAGCAGTAAAATTATAATTCCGTTGACAATGCGGCCCGCTGGAAGAGAGATATAGAAGGCCGTTTTGAATTCTTGTTGTCTAAACAGTTTTCATTTCTGTTCGGGTCTTGTTGCTTTTCGTTATTGCATGTAAAGTGTTCCTAACGGTAACGTATTTTGAGCTCACTGCACGTTATGTAAAATTATGGGAAAAACAAACGACTTTGCTTAGATTAATAAAACTAATTCTCTCAGGTAGTATTTTGCAATAGTAATCAAATGCAATTTGTCGAAAACGTCGTTCTCCTAAAGATTTTGCTTACAAAGCAGTTATTTTGTCTCTGGATTGTCTGGTGTGTGTAGATGAAGAGGTTTTCAGATTCCTTCCATACAGCAAGACAATTATAGGAACGAGCTAAAAAAAAGTACATGTTATTGGTAATGGTAACCTCTGATGGTACATTTGAGTTTTGCGGTTAATATGGATTTCCGATGTACAGTAATAAAACGGAGCTTACTGTCGTGTGTGATCCCGGTTGAGCACTCATAAGCTGTCACCTTCATTATGCTATTCTGTTTACAATCTACCGTCATTCGGTAACATTCACTGTCTCCACTTTTTGTTGGACTTTCATATATGCCAGTATAACCGCAAGAGACAGAATCAGGTTTTGCAGCAACCATAGCTGCCCATGAAGAACGGTCGAACGCTTGGTCATTCCTAAACTATTAACTTTATTCAGCTACTGTTACTACTCCAAAAAGACTCAGGAAGAAAATGAAGTATTAACAAACGAAGGGAATATGACCTGCAAAGATCCGGTTTATAGTTATCGAAACGACCTGTAGTTTTGAATTCAACAACGGAATCAGATCTTGAAGAAAACCAGAAACAGTGGAAACCAACCGCTTCCTCACTGGAATTCTTTAATTAGCATTCAGATTTGGAGAGCACTTTTTAAAACGTTATTCCATATCATTTTTAAGCAAAAGCAAAACCATATTTAATGCTATCAAATCTCTAACTGAGGCACTAACTAGGAAGACTATTGTGTAGCAACTAACCACAAGGTTTCCGAAAAGACGGCTACTCTATTTTCATCAGCATCGATACAATAAGACACTGCTGATCCGGATTCTGGAGCGCTAGATTTATAGATAAATTTTCCTCCATTTATGGTCACGTCACTGTATCCGCCTTGAAGCCACTCTGGGAATCGGCACACTGCCAAATTACGTTGTGATTTTTCTAAATTTATTTTTAGTTTAATTGATAAAAAATTAACGGAATTTTTCAAATTGTTGGTTAATCTCTACCAAGGCAAAGCTTCTGGTTTTTTTACTTCACAATTTTACGAACTGATAGTTTTACACTTTTCCATTATAAGTTCATGCTTTCGCTAAATAACGTCCAGAAATGTTTAGTAATTTCTTTCATTTCTATTTGACAGATTCCGAAAGCCGTTTAACGCTTTGTTTGTGCGCTTTTGCCAAAAGCTTTCTGAAGTCGTATTTACGGTTGGCTTTTTGGTCGTGGAGCTCTATTTTTTGCGACTGAATCAAGTTGTGTTCTTGCAAGCGACTAAAGGAAGTGATAGCAAGACTTCCAATTATTAAAAATTACGATTTCTGTCCAGTTAGTTCTGTGAAGTGATACCCAAAAAAAGACAAGGTAGTTGGATTTTTTTGAAGCAAGGATATGAATGCGGGACCATCTTAGATGATCTTAGTTTTTTAAAATCAACACTTTTAGCACAATCTTTTCCAGTTGCTTAAACAAAAGTAATACGGCCTGATTGAGCAAAACAGAATTTAAATGTCAAGCAGAAAATCACCTCCACATTCAAAACACCTTTCTAAAAGCCAGTTCGGACAATATAATCAGAGGGAACTTATTTTAAACAACAGCTTTTTTTTTTTGGAAAGTTACCTATTAAAAGGTAAATTTTGGAATTAACAGAAATAAAGGCTTAAGAAACGGATACTCAAGAAGTTTTGTTCTAAACTACATTTTCTATGGATTTTGTCTTAATTTCGCTCACTTGGTTCTTCAGTTCTCTACCGAAAAGTGCTATTAGTTTAGTAATCTAGAAACAATAAAATAATGTTGTTTTCAAACGTATTGTAAAAACTAAATAATAGGCAATATTTGTGATTTAGTGGGAGGAAACTTCTGACTGTGTCGGAAACGATAAGTATCAGTAGCATAAGTTGAATTCGGTGAAAGCTTATCGCATTGAGCATTACTGGACATATGAAGTACCAGTTTCTCGGGTGACAGTCGCATAAGCATCTAGAAATATGGACTATTTTTCTAAGTTTATGAAACTAGCTCATAATCTCACATCCTTTTCGTGACAAGTGAAATGTATTGACCAACGGTATAGTTCTTAATTTAAAAAATTTTTGAGTTTTCTGGTTGTATCAAGTTGCAGTAAACTTATACGCAGAAAGGTAGAAAAAAAATATTTAATTTTAGATTGTTCAATTTCACGTAAGGAAGAAATTATCTTACGCCACATCTAATTTGACCACTTTCCTCGTCCTCAACTGCAAGGTATTTCTCATCATTTTTTCCTTTCCAGGTTCCTATACAGTTTAGGTGCATCTCTGAAAACAGAGGACTGTGATCAGCAACAAAATTAATCAAGAATTTTTGGAATTTTTTACGAATAAACTAATTTTAGAGGTAATCGAATTAGGTTTGTAAAACTGTTCAAATACTTGAACTTAACATACTGAAGTCCGGAAAGGAGCAATTGCGAAACTGGAAGTCCAGCTGCGAAGTAAACTGGCAGTTATTTACCTTAAAAATCTAGCTTTTGCTAAATATACCCAAGAGTAAACTGTAAGAAGTTTTTGAATGATTGTTGACCCAAAAATCTAGTGCATATTAAGCGACTGAGTTATAACAACATTATTAGTTTTAGTTTATAATTTTTTTCGTATTATACAAAAAAAGACATTAAATAACTTTTCTGATGAAAATTTTTAGAGACCAATGAAGAGTTAGCAATTACCGATGAATCAAAACCTGGACAGCTTGTGTTTGAAAAAGGGCGACTGAATGATACTGAAAATTGACCGTCTAAACCGCAGCTCGGTGCTTCAAGAAAGGTAGTACCTGCAGTAATATTATTCAGATATGTATGTTTTTTTCTGGTTAATTTAGTAGAATAAACGAACTAAAGCCGATTGCAAAACACCATAGATTGCTCGGAGATAGCCTGGTTTAAACAACCAGTTGGCATTAATGATGTTAAACTGATCTGTGAAGTAATCTTTGTTATAAATGGACATGAATAATTTATGATTAGCAAGCTATTAATTTTTTAATGTGAAAATACTGTTACTATTCGTTAAAAAGTGTGGATAAAAGATGGCTACTATAAGGAACACTGTTGCGTAAAACTTTTTGTTTTGGATTATATTTTGAGAAGTTGCACCAGTAATAGCGACTTCTCTGTTGGAAACTGATAGTAAATTTTTAAATTTTTTTAAGCATTTTTTTAGAGCTTGTTTGACTTTTAAAAAATAACGTTTAAACTGGCATTTGGAGAAACATTAGTGCTTTTTATACACATTATTATCAAAGTTGCAGAAATCTGCTGATATTAACCATTATACAATGTTGACAAAAAATTTTGTTGAGAGATTTTATCTTAGCAAAACTTAAACTTACAAAAAAATTTTTTTAAATGTATAATTCAAAAAAAATTTCATCTTTATAACTGTTGGCTTTGTAGTACAAAAACTGTACTACCAAAAATAGAAAAGATTATTAAGGTTGAAGACTACGCAAATACGTACGGTATAGAAATGTTCCTTCAGTTGGCGAAATTAAAGCTTCGTCAAAACAGCTTCGTCGTGCTTCTTCAACCGATTCCTTGCACCAATTGTCTAAAAAATATACTTTTAAAGGTACATTAAATATATTTGTTGAAAACTAACATTTTCTTTCTCGTATTTTGTTTAATATTTTTTCTCCCGTTAATTTAAGGATTTTGATTTTGAGGGTAAACATCAGTTATTGACGTACCATTTGGATGCGCTGCTTGGATTATATTCGCTGCTCGTAAAACCATTGTTACGCATCGGAAACAAAATTTATCACCAATTCGTCTGCAAAAAAGAAAAAATCTGTATGTTAATTTCACCAGAAAAGCTACGCTTTACCCAGAATGTTTTTTGGGTGCATTTAATTAACTAATTTCAACTATTTTCTTGTCAAAATAAAGAAAGTTATGCAATTTTTATTCTGTCTCTTGAAGACCTACTTGTTTTTTCTTAAGTTGTGTATTTGCTTTTTAATTTTTGGAACAGCTTTAAAATTGTTATTTGCAAATGAATTTGTAAAGTTTTTCAAGCTTGTCACAACAGTCTCAATTTCGAATGTAGACAGAAATAATTTGAAAAATAAATTAGTTCTTAAAAAAATTAAAAAGTTCAGTTTAAAAGATAAAGCACTCCAGTTAGCAGTATCTTTGTTTATATGTCACAGATAACGGTATTGAAGTTTGAACAGTTGTTAAAACGGACTTAATTCCAAAAATGTAAGAATTCCCTGTATTCTCGTAACAGTTACCCCAGGAAGATGCTGAAGTTGACGTAATGACCACCTGTAAAATTACTAATTATTTGCAACATAAACAGGCAGCAGTAAAGCATTAAGACCAAGATTATTTGAACGAAATAATAAAGTTTTGATAAAATTAATTAATATGTTATACCTGCTCGTATACGACAGGTTCCTGATACCCGTCTACAAAGACAGTTTCGTTATTGTCATCTGGTTGTTTTTGAAATGTTCCTTGTAAAAATGTGCTAATCTTACAGCAGTTAGCTGAAAATCTTTGTTCCAGTTGTTCGACAACAAAAATGTAAAGTTTTGCAGCAGATATATGTGTGGTTACTTCACAAGTATTCAGATTTGACGAGGGAAATGAACAGTTTCTGCGGTAGCCAAATACTGTTTTGATTTTCATAAAAATTTTATTTCTTAACCGTTACTCCTGCTTGTTTAAAACCAAAAAAAGCAAAAAAAAATTTCTCTATGACTTTTAAAATACACTTACCAACTTGTAACAGTAGAAATAAAACTGAACTAATCATTAGCAGATGACAGGAAAGGTAAAACGAAGGTACGCTGCAGGTGATCATGAGGCAAAAGTGAAATAAGATTTTGTGCCCAGACTTGTTGGCACAGTGTTGTCACAGCGGTATTTCATCGTCTCCATCTTATTATGTTTGCCCACGTTTAACGCATGTCACGTCCACTTCCGCCCAGTTCAACCTATTGATCACCATCTTCAGAAGTGCCACTTCTAAATTCTCAAGAAATTCATAGTTAAATACAATTTTGATGAATACATTAGATCGCTTTGGAAAGAATTATTATGTTCGTTAAAAGATGATTTTTCTTCCTTGTACAATTTTTCACCACTTCGATTACAGCTGAGAACAAACTTTTTTTTTTTGCCTTCAGAAATTGCCAAAAACGATCTGACAAACAATAGAACAAAAAGTCGAAAAAGTTACATTAAAAAATCGTTTTCAGAACTTTAGTGTAGTTTGGCGTGACGTCTTATGGTCATCTCAACCACGACCGAATTGATTTATTAGATGAGTGTACCGAAAATACTAGCTAATTTTTTTAGCCGCAATTTTCGTCTTTATTTAAAAGTCATCAAACATGTATTTTTTTACCAATTTTTTTCACCACTTTTTATGCAGATTGGTGTCAAAGTGTCTGTTGGTCTGTTTGACAAAACTAAAGGTCTAACGACGAAAGAAACAAAAATAGTTGCATCCAATGGATAAAAAAAATTATTTGAGCAAAATAAGGAAGGAAATTATGCTGTCTCCAGTGAAAAAATAAACGACGGCTGGTGTTTTAAACCGCTTCCATTTCTTTCTTAAGATTCGAAATATTGTAAGTAAAACCTATTTGATAAATTTATTCTAAAAAAAAAAAACTATAAAAAAAAAATGCTTATACAAATAAACTGTTTCTAGTCAAAGTGTAAAATTCCTTGCAAATTTCTGTGTTGAATTTAGATGGCATGTAACGAAAAGCTAAATGCTTATCTACGGTCCTAGGGTCAGCTAAAATAGTAAGTTTGGTTTTTACTGAAGTGATATAAATTTGATAATGTATAAATTTGATAATTATTGAAACATTAATACACGGCCTAGCATTCAAAGACAACAAACCGGTAGGAAAAAACTGTTTAGTTGACCGTATGATTCTGCTGTACAGTATTAGACAGTTTGTTGTGACAAGACATCAAGTTTTTAAATGCAGGAATTTTTTTGACCAAGAAAATTTGTCTATGTTTCTTGGTATTTTGTTTTTTTCTGTTGCGCTGTAGAATTTAGGAATTAAAGAAGTCTAAGCGTGCTGATAAGCTATTTAAGTTGGTTCTTTTTGACTGCCAACAAATGCCGATATCATAAACAGAAACCTTCCTTTGTGAAAGTTTTCTGTAAATAGTACTGTAAATTCGAAGCAGATGCTTCTGATATTTCAGGATTAGTTAAAAGACGTCAAAGTCATAAAACTCTTTGTCATTTCTTTTTTTCTTGTTCAAAGATCTTGAAAAAATCATTTTTGTGCAACAATATAATCCTGACCTATACTGCTGCTAAAGAAACTCGAGTTTTTTCCCCGCAATCTCAAAACCAATAAAAGATTTTAATATTGATATTTTAGCATTCAGAATTTATTAAATTTATTGTTATCTAAATTTTTATAAGAATCTTGAGATTTATAAGAATTTTCAGTGTACCAGTCTTATGGACTTCCTGCAGCAGTTCCAGCAGCACCAACAATCCTCGCTTCGCAACCGTCAGTAGGCAGTTAGTTCATTCTCACTTCTCCATTCCTTTTTTCTCGAATTTTAAATCTTTGAAAGTGAAACTTGGTTTATTAGAAGAATTTGCCAAATGTAAAAAGTTCAAAATTTTTAAATAATAAATTGATTCTTGATAAAACTTTAGGTTTTAGTGCATATTGAGTTGAAAAATTACTGAAGAGAAGTATAGCAGTTTTTCAGCAATATAATTGGAAAGTCTGCCTCTTTTAACAAATGAATCTTTTAGCGCAATCAGCCATTCTGATCGCCAATAATTCTATGACATACTACTAAAGCTTTTAACTTTGTTCTCTGTTTGACCTGTTACGATTTTCTTATAGTTCTGCAATAATGATGTTTATGCTTACAGGTTATGCAACATTAGTACAACAACCACCACCACCACCACCACCACCGATATATGCAATACAACCTCCACCAGCAGCACCAATGTTGGCAGTACAGCCGCAAGCAGCAAGTAAACTAGTTTCCTTCTTTGCTTGAGTTACAGTAGTTACTTCATGAACTACTTTTTCTCGACTACAATTAGTTTTATTCTAATATTCATAAGACATAATACAACAATATCTGTGAGCCGTAACTGTTTTAATTGCTTACATATTAAATGAAATTACAGTAATTTCAAAAACGTAAAACTCCCCTTATGAGTAATTAAAGCTGCTTTGAGTACTGTACTAAAACGTTCACGTTTGGAAGCACTTGGTCACTAGTCGGTCGCAATAAGCCCTTAAATTTTCAAAAATTGCATGTAAATTTAACGCAAGAGTCTCTAATGACGATAATTATTAGCTACAAGTACTCATTAGAAGTGAGTGTGATCAGAGGCTTATCAAAACAAGCCAGTCAGCTTCAAATGCCAGTAAAGTAAAAAACGTCGCTCACTAACAAATTGTGAAATCGACGTACGACCCGGACATTCTTGCCAACAGCAATCACTTCATGAGGTGGTTACAAACACGAGAAAATTTTGAGTTTACCTACGATAAACATTTTGCACCTCATTATGCAATATTTCCAGCGGTTTCTTGGATCAAACTTTTTACTGGTAATCATAATACTGGTCACCAACAGATTTCCGTACCACTGACAATATCGTAATGAAGATTTCCAGCACCTATTACTTACTTTTTTGCTGTGTTACCAATTACTTTTTTATCAAGGTGTCTAATTGATTTATTCCAGCATACGCGTCTTTTACCCCACAGGCTGTTCCTATAATGGCACCAACACCGGTTATCGCACCACCACCAGTTATAGCACCAGCACCTGTTATAGCACCGCCACCAGTTATAGCACCAGCACCAGTCATAGCACCTCAACCAGTCGTTGGACCGACACCAGTTATAGCACCACAGCCAGTCGTAGCGCCGCAGCCAATTGTAGCACCACCACCAGTTGCTGTGCCGCCGCCGATCGCGGCACAACCACCAACGAGTTATGTGCCTCCAGTTCAACCGAGTAAGTGTTACAATCTCTAGCATTTTTTAGTACGTTTACAGTATTTTAATGGGTATGTTTCTGTGAAAAATTTTACACATGTTACTATTATGGAATGGTTTATTGCTTATTGTAGGCCACATACCATTTACGTACTAAGCCAAAAGCTGAGAACTATGTATCCCAGCATTCGTTTAGAAATCGATTACTAGTGTCTGTAAAAGACATTTAAGGTTGCCATAAACCTTTTTCTTTTCATTCGACACCAGCGATAAAATTCCGGCCTAGTAGTCATTTCCAAACTAAACCACCTCTTTTTTTTAGCATATCAGAGCTTTGTACCACCACCACAACCGACACCAGCACAAAATCCAATCTATGCTTCAACTCCGCAACAGCCAGGTAACAATATTCCTAATTATCTGTACCGTCAAAACCTTTCAAAATTTTTTTAGCGTACCAGAGTTTTGCACCGTTACCACAACCAGCGTCAATGGAAGCTCCAATATATTCTTCAGTTGCGCAACAGCAAGGTAACATATCATTATCGTTTACATTGGAAACAGGCTTTAAAATTTTCTGTTTAGCTTTCAAAGGGTTCACTCAACCAGCTGGATCATTTCCATCACCTGTACCAGCGGCGCCTCTCCGATCAAACGGTAATCAGTCTGTCAATTTAAGTAATAAATTCGTGCTACTTCACGTTTTGAGCGATATAAAATTTTTAATTCTTTAAAGGTTTGAATTTAGATTTTTGTTGAGTAAGAGACAGTATTACTTGAAAATAGAAAGAAAGATTGCATATGTAAAGCTTGTTAGACAAATTTGAAAAAGGGCACTGTTAACAGAATATTGACTGTTCAAATAATTTTCAGCGTATTCGGATTTTCGACCATTGAGTTCACCAAGCCCATTACCGCAACCTTCATTACAGCGACAACAACAGAGCGGTAAAATTCGATACTTTTCATAATACCTTATACATGTTACTGCCCTGTACAATCTTCTTTTAATTTTGTGTGATTGCATTGGGAGTTTGCTGATAACTATATCATTATGCAGTCTAATTTATGACGGATTATTTTACTGTTAATCTTCAAAAAGGTTTTTTAATGCAGAGTGAACTACTTTAATGAAACACATCTAGTATTCCTTTTTTTTTAAAAATTTCGCTTTTGTGGTTCTATAACTCTGTTAGAAGCGTTTTCAACTGATACTTGCGTTAAATATGCTTTTATGCGCAGCTGTCACTTAGAGCTAAGAGAAAGCATTATTAGCGTTTGATTCTGAAAAGTAATCAGGGAGAATAAGCGTTTAGATATTTGGATGTCAAATCGTCTTTTAAGCTTTGTAAAATGGCTTTTAAGCTGTATTATAGTACCTCATCACCACTTTCATTTACCGTTGAAGAAGCTTCTTACCAGTAGTCACTGCTGAAGCGCAAAGACGGTAAACAAATGCGTCGATGGACTCATCTATGACACTGCAAAGCAGTATATGAATCTTCGTTCCTTTATTTCTTGCGATAAGTGTCTCTGTAGTTTATCCCGTATTCACCGGTGATCCCTTACCAAACACGAATTACCGTTTCTCCTTCTGATGGTTCCAGGCTCAATATAGCTGGTAGCTGCGGGAAAGAATGCTTTAGTATCACTCTATTCTTAGACCTTCTTAATGAAATAATTTATTAAGCAGTTACATAGTTTAAAAGGCGCATTATAAGACAAGCAACCAGTTATTATTATAAAACTCATATTGTTAATGTAATTTTTGTTAGTAAAATGGTCGTATAAATTGTTTTTTTTTCTTGTTTCAGATTACGCAGAACTTCCGTCTCCAGTTCCAATTTGCACCTACGAAGCAACCCAAAATAGTGGGTATAGTATATTTGTTTGCGATAAATTTACTTAAATACTTTGTGTATGAACAGAATGGCTGTTAATTTTTCTTTTTGATCAGCAACACAATTTTATTACCGTTGCTTTTACTCGTATTATCTGAGAAAGAGGTGAAAAAGCTGGTAAAGAGTAGGACGATAGGTAACAGTTATTTTCAAACTGTGGAAAAGTAGAGGAAAGTTTAGAGTAAGTTTTTATGTGAAGTTCATACTAAAAGCTTATCAGCACTGCAAATTTTTGTGACTACTTTTTAATTTGTTTTTCCTCCTCAAAGCAAAAATGTTTTAAAGCAAGGAAAGAAGCATTTGACAAGTAACGAAATGATCTCACAGGTACTAGGAATCGTGACAGGATGGGCTGTCGTCATCCTATTGCACTTCACTAAAACCCTAAATTTTAACTTGAAACTGCAAGGAAAAGATGTTGGTTTGAGTAAGATGAGATTTCAATTCCAGTAATTATAAAATTGATGTATAACTGGCAGTTTCTTTCACCAAGAGCAGACTTCACTTTGAAGAAAAACTGCGAAAGTAGCTCACAGCAATCTTACAAATTATTCAAAAGAGCATCTCAAGGAAAACAAAAACATGATTATCAGATATCAGTCTTTTAATTTCCAAAAACAAGCTCTTCTCGTCGGTTTCGCTGATAAGTTCCAAAAAAAGACTGTTTTTTAGAGCTTTCGTTTCATATTTTAGTTTTTTAAAATGTTGTTTCAAAAGGTGAAGGCCAAATGAAGTGGGGCTAAAGAAGCAACATTTTGACTTGCGATCTTTAATTTCGGAAAAAATTTTTGAGGTAATACAATCTGTGCCAGGTCAATAAGATTAAAAGGTTCTAGGCAATGATGTAACTACACTTTTGAAACAATTCTTACTGAATTTGATCTTACTTAAATCAAGCTTTTTTTGATGTCACATATACATGCCAGTAAAAGAAAAACTTATTTTAAGAAACATTACTTTCAACCGTCTATTATTGTCTGGAATCCTCTTGACCAAAGCCCAACAGCTGGGTAATGCGTAATTAACAACGTTACATTGTTGCCTGTATAGAATGTTTAATAAGAAAACAGGGTAAACGACTTTGTTCCTTCAATAGCTTTCTCGCACTTTTGAGGAGAAACAATCGATGGCACCATCAGTTATAAAAGACGTACTTTTACAGAGACATGACGCAAAAACGCATTAAATTTTGCAAAAACTTTGCAAAATTTTAATTTGATGTTTTACAGTAGCGGCCCTCTTCTCATATTTGTCCACACATGCAGCATAATGTTACCACTGGTCGTGGGTTTCATCTGCCGCAAGCTATAAAATCAGAACCAACAAGAAATAAATAAGTTCTTACCTTTTTTCAATTCTATAATTGTATGGGCATTAAATAAGAAGTAACACCCAGTGAAACATCGGCCCCCTACGATTGCATTAGGAGTTGTTATTGCTCGTGTATAGGCAGTTTACTACTACACATTCAGCCACTATAATGATTCAGAATTTGAGACAAGCGTGAGCTGACGAGAAGGAATAGCAACATAACTCGTCAAAATTTTTCAGCATATCGCTTCCAACAAAGCGGACCTATACAACAGCCATTATCAAATGTGTCGCCTTTTGCACCTCAAACTTCAAGTACTGTTTCATATTACGAAAAGCTCTGTCTGGAATTGTTCAAACTTAAATTAATTTGATTTTGGCGTTCTATAGAATTATAAAAGAAAGAATTTCAGAAGCATTAGAAGGCGATGTTTCGCAAAGAATCTATGAAGGTGAAACTGACTTAAAAACCCCTCAACGATCTTCTAGAAAAAGCGAAGGTGAGGAAGCTAGATAAACTTTTAAAACGGCCAGGTGCTCAAGACTCAATGAAGGGGCAACTGCAGGTTTGGAAGAATGCGAATCAGTCATTAATAGCTACTGCTCTATATCACGTTTTGCCAAAAGCCAACATTACCTGAATCTCTTTCAAAAACTTTTCGAATGCCGAGCCAAGAGAATGATCTGGAACTGTAGAACTGCCAAAGAGGTTTGGAAAACGAAAACTAACTTGCCTTCTAAAACTTAAAAATGAGTTATTCGCTAAAGGCAAAATACCTGGATTCCCAGAAGTCCTCTACCTACTTTTTCTTAGATTTCTCATATATAAGTACAAGTTAAACCAAAAAAACAAAGATGAATTACTAACGTTTGAGTCCACATATAAAATTATAAATGCTATTCTGAATTCATTTTTACCATAAAATCATTTTTAAAACAGGACGCCTTCCAAAACCGCCAGACCTTCCTCTCCCAAAGCCGCCAACTACAGGACTGGATCCAACTATGAATCCTTTGCAAAGAATTGGTATGTTTTAGTAATGTTAAAAATAAACTACGCAACGTTTATAGAGTGATCCCTTTTAATAAAGCATATAAATAGTTCTTTTGGTGAGCTGTACGAACAATGCCGCACAAGAACCGTCAAAATTGAGAGGTATTATTACAACATTCACCTTAGTGTTTCGAAAGTTTAAAGAGCTTCCTATTTTTTGAGTCCCATTTCCCGAAAAGTTTACACACAAA